TTCCCCATGTTGGTCAGGCTGGTCTCAAACTCCCAACCTCAGGTGATCCGCCCGCCTCAGCCTCCAAAGTGCTGGAATTATAGGCGTGAGCCACCACGCCTGGCCAATAAAGTGAATTTTCTAATATGAAACACTATTTGCGTTCCTGGGATAAACCAATTTGATCATGGTATACTGCTTTCTAAAATACACTGCTGCTGGATTTGGTATATTGTTTTTTTTTTTTTTAATTACAACGATGTAGGTATGATAATATTTTTGAGATGGGAGTCTTGCTCTAGTTGCCCAGGCTCGAGTGCAATGGCATGATCTTGGCTCACTGCAACCTCTGACTCCTGGGTTCAAGCGATTCTCCTGGAGCCTCAGCCTCCTGGAAAATATTTTCTTTAGGATTTTTGCATCTAATATGAGCGAGACAAACCTGTGATTTTTCCTTTTATCTGGTACTGTTTTGGGCAGATTTTGGTATCAAAATTTTACTTGTCTTGTAAGACAAAGTAGGGAGTATTCACTTGTGTGTGTGCTGTCTCACTCATTTAAATTCACGGGTAGAGTCTGCTCACGACTGGATAATTCATTCTTTGAAAGTCTGAAAGTTTGGTAGAATTCTCGGTAAAACTGTTAAAATGTAGTTTTCGCACTGAGACTTACAGCTATTGTTTTCATTTCTTTAGTAGTTATTGGACCATTCAGGCTATTTTTACCTTGGGTTGATTTTGCATTTCATAGTTTTAAAGTCAATTGTAATGAAGTTGTTCCCAGTGTTCTCTTATTTTAATCTCTCCAGTATCTGTAGTTATTTCCTCCTTTTCACTTATATATTTACAAAATTTAAAAAAAAAATGTTTTTTTTTGAGACAGGGCTCTTGTCACCCAGGTTGGAGGGTAGATGCACAATCTTGGTTCACTGCAACCTCCACCTCTCGGGCTCAAGCCATCCTCCCACCTCAGCCTCCTGAGTAGCTGGGACTGTAGGCGCATGCCACCACGTCTGGTTAATTTTTTTGTATTTTTTGTAGAGACAGGATTTCATCATGTTGCCCAGGCTGGTCTTGAACTGACCTCAAGTGGCTTCCCAACGTGCTGGGATTACAGGCATGAGCCACAGCACCCAGCCAAAACTGTTTTTATTTTTTTGTTCTTTAATTAGAGACATTTTCAAACACACACAAAAACAGAGAGTACAGTATAATGAACATAGCCATCACCTGACTTTGATAATTATCAACATCCTAATTCTTCTTCCATCTAATTATGCTATATTTTGTGTCTTTTTTTCCCTATTATTCTTAATCTGTCTCCTAAAGATTTGGTGTTTTCAATCAATCAAATTTTAGCTTTGTTGATCTTCTCTACCAAGTCTTTGTTTTCTATTTAATTATCTCCCTTATCTCCTTCTTTATATATTCTTTGGGTTTATTCTGTTGTTCTGTTCCTAATTTCTCAAGGGAAATCTTTAACTCATTATGTTTTAGGATTTTTAAAAACGAATTTAGGCAATTATAGCCTTATATAAACAGCTCTAAAAAGTTAACTTTTTTCGGCATCCCACAGGTTTCCATATGTACTGTTTTAATTATCTTTTAGTTCTATGTATTAAAAAATTTTGACTCTCTGGGTATGGTGGTTCACACCTGTAATCCCAGCACTTTGGGAGGCTGAGGCGGGTGGATCACCTGAGGTCAGGAGTTCGAGACTAGCCTGGCCAACATGGTGAAACCTCATTTTTACTAAAAATAAAAAAAATTAGCTGGGCATGGTGGTGGGCGCCTGTAATCCCAGCTACTTGGAAGGCTGAGGCAAGAGAATCACCTGAACGCGGGAGGCGGAGGTTGCGGTGAGTGGAGATCACACCACTGCACTCCAGTGTGGACAACAGACTGAGACTATGTCTCAAAAAAAAAAAAAAAAGACTGGTTTCTTACTTGACTCATGAGTTATTTAAACTTCTATACTTTTAGATTTCCAAATATTCTGTGATTTAAAAATTGATTTATAATAAATCTCTGATTAAAATATATTGTGGTTAAAGAACACTATCTATTCTTTGGGGAAAAAAAAATTTTTTTTCAGACAGGGTCTTGCTCTGTTGCCTAGGCTCGAGTGCAGTGGCGTGATCATAGTTCACTGCAACCTCAAACTCCTAGGTTCAAGTGATCCTCTGGCCTCAGTCTCCTGAGTAGCTTGGACTACAAGT